ATATGTCATTTAGGTAGATAACAAAAACCAGTGGCTCCAAATGGGAACTTTAAGGCACACCAGAAATAGTTGCATAACATGAAAAATTGAGGCCATTTAAAAATACAACTTATCACCCATTGAATAGGTACGACAAAAATCATTAAAAACTACCAAAATCAGTGTTCACAAAATTCATCTGAATATAACAGTCCAATGCACACAATACATATTCAGAATATTTTATCCAATTTGTTTCTATCAACCTATTAGGAAAAAATCATGTTATTTAATCACAATGGGCTTCACTTTACTAAGAAGATGGTACACCATTTTTTTTCAAGAACCTAACCTGAATATATTGGGTTTACTGAATAGTTTATAATTGTTACTACATTTTTATTACAATTTTTGAAAGCTGGAATTATATAGGCTTGCTTCCATAAATTAGGAAAAACATATTCCTCAAAACAGTTATTAAAAATACACAAACTATTGGCACCTCTCTAAATCACAGAAAATGTTTGTATTGAGGAACAAAAAAAGTATTTTATGGAGTAGGAAATGCTACTTTTTTTACTAATCTATAAGATAAACACCATAGTGAACAGGTGCCCCATCAAATATGAAAATAATTGATAATGGTTAATAACAATCCAGAACATTGGATTTTATTTTGGGTTTTTTAAAGGAGTGTTCAGTACATCTGTAGAAAAAAGGAGAATTGATTAAAAGAACAGAATATCACTGCTTACAGTGCTTACGCTATCTTAAAGAGAAGTTTGTAATTATTAGATTAGGATTAGGATTAAGGAATACGACAACCCTGGAAAAAATTCCTAAGAAGCCCTTTCCCAACTTTTTTAATGCTTACGTGATCAAGCAGATAAGAAATACAATCCTGGAATTTTCTTTTGATATTTGCAATATCATTATATGAGTATGCATACACATACATGGTGTTTTCTAATCCTGTGTAGGAAGTTATTTTTGGGTCAATTAACTCCAAGAAAAAAAACCTTAACGAGTGAAGGATCTAAAATCACACCTTACAAAAGGGTATTAAAGAGATAAAAATTACAAAACTGGTATACAAAGGACCCCGCACATACCTTATGGGTTTGAGTTCCTGGTCGATTCGTCAGAATTTTTGATATGTTGTAGTTGACAACCTCCTGATAAAAAATGTTCATAGTCCCAAAGTCCGAAAATAAACAGTTTTCGAGATCTCAAGGATGTATAGTCTCAAAAAATTGAATATTTCCATGAACCTAAACATGGAAACGAGCACTTTTGAAAATAATTATTATACATTTTTTATTATTTATCGGATTTAGATCGATTTGAGTATTCATAACATATATCTGGAATGGAAATCAGTACGACTACACCCCCGGGACATCCCCAAAATAAGGGTTGAAAAAGTAAAATATTTATATCTCAGGTTATGATATTATCCACTTGTTTTTTTTTCATGAATCATTCTATACGGCTAAGCATGTGTGGCAAAATCCTCAAGCTATTTCCACCCTGAAACATCCTCCAAATAGGGGTAGAAAAACCAAAATATTTATACTCGGGTTGTTACGAAATTATCCACCTGTTTTTTTTATAAATCCTTCTGTATGGCTAAGGGCATGTGTAGAAATATCCCCGAGTCATTTACACCCCGAAATACCCCCAAAATAGGGATTGAAAAACTAAAGGGACGTGATTATGTTAGATATGTTATTTGATTTGGGCTACTGACCTTGAAGGTTAACAATCTAGTAAAACTACCTAGGAACGTTTTTGTTCGTCGCATACTTGATGGTTTGAAGCCAAATCATATGATATATAGAATTTTCCGTTCTTACCGAATCTGGGGTAAAGTTTATTTAGAAAATAGGGGTGCCTATTTAAAATTCGTTAAACGTACGAATTTAAATGATAGCATTTGAAAGTATCATTACAATCATATCATTACATTTTTATTTCATTCACTCTACCATTACTTTGTTTTTTTTATCATATCTTTGTTTCACGATTTTGAATTTCGTAACTTGGAAAAATCTAGAGTACTCAACACATTTCATGTGAAGTTACGTGGCGCCCAGTACCCTCAATGATACCAGAAAGTTATTACAATCCACGACCCTAATGCTCTCTGACAAAAAGCTGCCGTATGCTAGTGTTGGATCCCCGATGATCATTTTTTTTATCTAAAGGGACCCTGCACAATGAAACTGTCACCATAAAAGATGCCTACTATGTGAAAATGTTAAAAAAATTACTGTTCTGAGCCATACATTATTTAAAAAATAATTATTTCAGACTAAACTACGCAGAATTCGAAAAAGGTAGGGACATTTTTTCTTCAAAAAAGTCCAATTCATTAAAAAATAATATTTGCTTGATAATTCAAAGGAATAAAAAAAATTCGACTTTCTGTTAAGAGTAGTTAGAAAACTATCCTTATTTATAACCGATTTTGATGAAACTTATGATAGTTAAAGATCCTCATGGTATGATTCTTACCTACAATTTTCATTCCATTATCTTAATCAGAAAGAAAGTTATTTTAAAAAATAACCAAATGATAAGACCTCTTTGGAGGGTCATATTTTAGTAATGGTCCTCCGGAGGACCAATGTTTATAAGAACTTTTTTTACTATTTTTGGCTCTACTTTCACCTCCTCAAATTTTGTACCAACTTTTCCAAACACTCTGTACATTCCCTATTTTGGGGGTATTTGGGGGGGAAATGATTCAAATAGTTTCTCATGCATGCTCTTAGCCGTATAGAATGATTTACAAAAAAAAAAACAGGTGGATAATCTCATAACATGATATAAATGTTTTAATTTTTCTACCCGTATTTTAGGGATATTTCGGAATGAAAGTGCCTTGAGGATTTCTACACATATGCTCTTAGTCGTATAGAATGATTTATGAGAAAAAAGTGTACGGATAATTTCGTAATAACCTGAGATATAAATATTTTAGTTTTTCAACCCTTATTTTGGGGGTGCCTCAGGAGGTGGAATGGTACTGGTTTCGATTCCAGATACATATTATGAATACTCAAATTGATCCAAAAACGATAAATAATACAAGAATGAATAATAATAATTTTCAAAAGTGCTTGTTTCCATATTCAGGTTCATGGAAATATTCCATTTTTTGAGACTTTGCATCCTCAATATCTCGAAAACTGTTCATTTCCGAACTTTGGGCCTACGAACACTTTTGATCAGGAGAGTGTCAACTACAACATATCAAAAATTCAGACGAATCGATCGGGAACTCAAACCCATAATGTTTGTACGGGGTTCTTTCTCAATTAATGGTGGAAATGCTAAGAGGCACTCCCATGAAAAAAAAAACTAGGATTTCAACTAAGTATTTTGGAAACTGAATAAGTGTAGTCTTCTTAATGCTATCTACCTCTAAGAAATGTTATGTAACTTTATTTAAAAAATAAGTTCATGTAGGTATATTTTTTTACAAGCTTTTAGTGACATTATTTTATTTTCGTATTCTTCTCAGCAAATCCTGTCATTTGATACCCATATCATGGGGGTGCATAAAAAATAACTGGTCCGCCATATTGGATTTAGAATGACGTCACTTAGTTAACCATGCATTGTCATCCAAACTAAACGTGTATGCAAAATTTCAGCTCAATCGGTTGGGGATAACTGTTTTAAAATTCAGTTGCAATATTTGACCTATACTAACAAGTCAAGTTAAATAAAAGTTTGTAAAAAAAACTTGTAATGAGACATCTTAAATTTTTTTTTTAATTTAAATTAAGGTTAAATGCAGTTAAACATGCATAGGAGTTTTTTTGTTCAAAGTACATTCTTAAATACAGTATAGCCATTGAAAAAAATGATTGGTGCATATTGCACCTTTGCATATATGCCTATTTTGTAAAAAAAATTTTTTTTAGACATTTATATTTACCGTATTTCAAAACATATTTCGATTAAAAAATTCTTATATTTTTTTTATGAAGATAATGATTTGGATTAATTACCAGTGATGGTATTGCAGACGATTGGCGTCCATCTATTTTTTAAGTAAACAAGAACCTAAGATGTTTATTTTCATTTGCTGATAACATAATCAGCCGTTAATTGTCTGCTAATAAACTCTAAATATATGCATCCTCTATGTCGAATGTCAGAACTGTACATAGCACCGTTCGATAAAGAAATGAATTAGACATATTCCATTTAAAATGCAAAATTTGATACTTTCTGAGGGCCCTCTTAGAACTTGGCACCACTGAGCCATTTCTCCATAGGTCCTATGGTTAATCTGGAACTGAGTCCAACCTCTCTAAAACACCTTGTATATTTTTTATCAAAATAAACTAGATTTAGTTTGTGTCTTATTTAACTAATTTACGAGTAGGCTAAAATATCTAAAAGAGCTACAGAAACCTGGCGCAGGCATACTATAAAATGCAATAACAAAACATTATGAAATACAGTAACGGAAGAATATAAAATACAAATCATTACATTATAATAGATACTTCGACCAAACTCAATCTTGAGTATGACTTTACACATTCTTAGCAATGTCTCATCCTCCAGTCGATTAATCGAACCTTGAGGTGTACTTTGTTAGGTATGACATTAGTAATTAGAAGTTATTCTTTAATATTAAGAGTTAAATGTATATAAATCAAATCATATATATGTATATAAAAGAAACACAATTCCGATATTTATAAACTACTACAGTAAAATCAAAGCTACTAAAGTGGGACCGAAATAACCACATTCCTCACTGACAAAGTTTCCTTTACAAGACTTCATCTGTATTTGAGATGTGAGCATAACTCGGACGAGTCATTCTCATGATTTAGATTTCAGTATCAACTATAGGTACACGGGCATAGAAGCCATTATCTTTTGCTTTGTGGTTCGTAATGATGATTAGAAAACAATATAGATGAATGGTTCAATACAAAATTAAAGTTGAATGAGTAAAAGATGTACCACAGATATAAGTAAAAAAATCTTACCTCGGGAGCCTTCATATTCAACACCTTCGTTACTTTTCCTTGCATAATTAAAAAATGAGGATTATTTACATTTAATTGTATAGAACAAAAAAGATCTTGTACTTTTTTATTAGGCACATTTGTACCATTTATCATGTATTTATTTTTCCCTCCCATAACAATTTGTCTTGTAATTGTAATTTCTTGAAAGTTTTCAAACCCAGGGGGGCATTGAGCTGGATTTCTATTATCAAAAGTTATAGAAACTGTTGCCTTATTAACTCCTGCTTGTCCACTCTTGTATATAAGATCTTGCAAACTTCCTGCTCTAACCTACCAACAAAATTAAGGTTACAAATTAGAATTTATATATTTATTTTATATTTATAAATACTCACATGGCTTAAATTTGAGATTCCCAAAACGAAGCAGATTGAATCGAGGATATTTGATTTACCACTGCCATTCAAACCTGTAATAGCATTGAATTGTTCGTCAAATCCAGTTATTTCAGTCCTTTGTCCATACGACTTGAAACCATCTAAAACGATGGTTTTTATAAACATTTTTTTAAAAACATTCACTAAACACGGCCCAAGAACATATAAAATCTAATAATAAAATGTAAATAAAAATCTACACAACTCCAAGAACCTCAGCGAACGTTATAAAATTTTTGACGGTGAAATGGTCACTTATTTTTTAAATTATAAATTTTGCATTGTCGATGTTACAGATATCTTTACAAACGTTCGTAAACCGCCGCCATTATTCCATGGCTACGCGCCATTATTCTATGGCTAGAAATTGGCCTCAATGATTTGGGATCGAGGGGGATTATCCCTCTTTATCCTGCCTCATCTCGTGTAGGCCTGGACA